GGTATTAATCTCATAAAGGAGCAGGTTCTTACAACCAGCTATGAGTGGAATGTTGTCAGTCCAATAAATGTCTGTTATTAGTGGTTATCAGATCCAAAATGTCTGCAGACTGTCCCTCCTTTACCTCCTAGTAGGTTGGAAGGCACTTATCAATCATTTGTATGCCATGCCTATAGTGCTTGATGTGAGGCACAACTGCAGCCAACTAACAGTTGCCTTCTTGGGCTTATATCTCAAAAAGTACCAAACAGATTTCTATGAAACATTCAGACTTTGGGGAAATGTTCAATACACCACAGAGAACAGCAGATTAAAGTTGAAAACATTTATCATGAGCACGTGCACGGCTCCTAAGAACCACTGGAGCGGAGCTCAGTGTGGCTGCTCTCAACCTGTTCCTGCCTGTGTTTGGTTTTTAGACCCAGCAGTCTACACAAGTAGAGGAGACCATCACCAGAACTGCGGTAATGCTCATGAAGATATTTGATGGAAAAGCTAACGGGTCAGATTAAAGGTGAACATCAAGCTCAAGGAACATCAGTGTCAGATGTCGTTCTTTTGGCCAAAGTGGACTTAATGGGAGATGACCAAGAAGGACACCAAATCATAAAAAATCCCAGGCTGGAATTGACCAAAATACATATTGACAAGCCACAAAGCTTCTGGGACAATGTCCTCTGGATAGACGAGACAAAAATGGAACTTTTTGGCAAAACACATCAGCTCTATGTTGACAGAGGGGAAAATGAAGCATCAAGAAAAGAACACTGTCCTACTGTGAAACCTGTTATGGTCTGGGTCTGCTTTGCTGCATCTGGCACAGGGGGTCTTGAATCTGTGCAGGGTACAATGAAATCTCAAGACTATCAAGGATTCTAGAGAGAAATGTGCTGGCCAGTGTCAGAAAGCTTGGTCTCAGCAGCTCATGGGTCTTCAACAGGATAATGAGCCAAAGCTACTAAAAAACACCAAGAACGGCTCGGAGGAAAACATTGGACTGTTCTGAAGTGGTCTTCTAAGATCCTGACCTAAATCCTGCTGAGCATCTTTGGGAGGAGCTGAAACATCAAACCTGAGACACCTGGAGCAGTTTGTTCATGAGGAGTGGACCAAAAAACCTGCTGAGAGCTGCAGACGTCTCAGTTACAGGAATCGCTTGATGGATGCGATTGACTCAAAAGGTTGTGCAACAAAATATTAGCTTAAGGCTACCATCATTTCTGTTGAGGCCTGTTCCATCAGGTTGATTATTTTTAATCTGTGGACTTCAAACGTTGTTCAAGATTAATTTTATGACAAATGAACGAGTAAATAAACATAAATCACATTACCCAGACACAAGATTCATTAAATTTTGCAATGAACAAAATCTAATTGATGCGTGGCATCATCATCGTCTAAATCTCCTGATTTAATAAAAAAATTTCATGGTTCAGCTCAAGAAGCAAATCAATAACTGATGACTGATTTGTTACGGTGATTTTTCAAATGGAGCCTTATTTCAGCCTCACGTTTATCTGGTGGTGAAACAGTTCAGCTTTGCAGCGTTTACAAATAATTTTGTTTCTTTGCAGCCCAGTGTCAGGAGCAGTCGCCTCATGTACAAAGACTTGTGTGGATCTCTTACTGAAATGTGGCGTAAGGTCAAGTCCAGAAAATGTGCGCTAACATGAGCTTAGCATTCCCATCATTTCTAAGAAGTCATTTAACCTAACTGATCCGATCTATTAGGAAAGGAGCAGTAAGCCTCGGATATTAGGGCCAGTTAATAAATATTCTCAATTTGATGAATTTGTATCATTTTCCAATGTTTATTCATATGAATCTCTTTTCCTTGGATGTATTTAGAGCAGGGGTCACCAATACGGTGCCCGCGGGCACCAGGTCGCCCGCAGACCCCTTCTGAGTCGCCTGCAGGACACGTTCTAAAAATAGCACTGATGGACTGATCAGCAAAGCAGCGCTCTAATTTAAATATTAAAAAAGGAACCAAAGTCACCCAYGTGCTCTTCTGAGCTTTTATTAACAAAACACTTTCCAAATAATGTCAACAAATAACATTGTTATCTCACGTTAAACCCACAGAAAACAGGTGATTCACTCCTCCTGCCTCCCTCTCAGAGCCCCTCTCTGTCCTGAGGTGCCTGAGGCTCACTGCACACAGTTAACTCCGCCCCCAATCCCCACCATTCAGTTAACTC